ATACATATGAACATATATGCAATTCCTTATGTGTTGTAAAAAGACAAGCATCCCTGTGCCTATGTACTAAATGTTCTCCCATATTTGTATATGTACATACAAAGTATGTTATATATATATATATCTAATGTTACCAAATGTCACAAAAACGCTCCATAGTAGACACTGTGATGCACTACACAGATTCCCCCTTTAGGACTGAAAAATTTATTCCCTCAGCTGCACAGAAGTTGCTTAGCACTGACCCAGCTGAGGAGAGTCACCTGACTCAAAGTCATGTCCCCTTCCCAAAGTAGCCCTTATCCCAAAAACTGTTTGACACAAGTGTCTATCTAAAAGCTCGCCTCCTCCACCCAGCCTGGGGCAATTCTGAATGGCCATGGCAGCCTCCAAGTTTCCTGTGGGGCTGGCTGAGGTCTTGGTTGAGACTGCCTTGCAGCCTAAACCTGCTTTTGTCCTTTCCCTTCCATGGGTGGCAAGCAGAAAGGGAACTCCCAAAAAACCTGCTTGTGAATCTCCATCTCATCCCCTGTTTCTCGGATCCGTGACACATCCCTTTTGTAAGGAATGTCCAAATAAGAGAGGAACGGGTATGCTTAATAAGTTGAGAGGTTTTATAGCAGCAACACTGTGAAAAAATCTCTAAAACTGAATTATAGGTTAAAAGAACACATTCATAAATCTAATTGATAGGTCTTTATATTTAGGAAAACTAAGGGAATTCCAAAGTAGCCAATTTTGAAGACAGTTAAACTGAATTTATCACAATCCATATTATCAATCTTATTGCACATTATATATTTACCCTCTTTGACTTCAGAAGATCTGATCCTCAAAATAAAAAGTAGTGTCTTATGGAACCTCATACAATTAACATGGATATTTCAATTATAAGAAAGCCAAAGCTACCATCCTAGGAGTCCTTTAATTTTGTTCTAAATTTATTCCTCTGGCTGCAACTAACCTAATAATCAAGAATAGACACCAACTCTAGAAACTAAACAAAGCCTACAAAACCACAAAATGTATATTCTAAAGAGTGACACTGTTGGTGAGCGAGATCACATACATGAGGGGGAGCCTACGAGCACACACCCCTGGACATAAGGGGCTTTCCAGGGCTCCACATTCCACCAGTAAAGTCACCTGCTGAGACAACTCCATGTCACTGGGAGGCCAGGGTTTTCCAGTTCTACTGAAACCACTTTGCTGCTTCCCTTCAGAGGCTCGGTTATATTTGTGATATGTGTTAGGTCAAGTTTAGATTCACTATCATTATCTTCCATCTAACCTAATCTCTCATTCTTCTTTCCTTGTCTGCCAATGTGAAATAAGGTGTTATTATTTCAGAACCTCCGACTTCTTCCTCCAAAATGAATCAAGAAAAGTCAGTCAGAAATACCTGAAATTAACCTCTGTTTGAAGTTAATAGTGTTTTAACTTTGAATTTCAACTCCAGTCAACTTCGATGACATGAATTTAACAATCTTGGGTCACCGTGCCAGACAGAGAGATTCACTGCTGGAAGCAAGGTGTGTCCAGTGCCAATACACTGCTGGGCTCATGCACGCAGACAGGGATGCTGCTGCCCCGCGCCTGCCTCTACGGCAAAGCGGCTGTGCTGCAGGGCTGAGTTGCAGCAGCAGTGCTGAACCTACTTCTCGTTTTCCTCAAAACTAAATGGCATTTATACATACTCCATTTAACTCTATGAAAATACTCTCAAAAATTACTACATGCATTTTTCAAAGAACTATTTTATTGATGACATTAATCAGAGGCAAATTATTTTTCATAACAATAGGTATGGCTATTTAAATGAAATAATTTGGGGTCTTTTGTGGAATGAAGTTTCTGAAATGTATTCTAAATATATTTTATTTAGACCAGGAGTTTTCCACTACGGGTAATTTTGTCCCCCCTCCCCCAAAAGAGGACATTTGACCATGTCCAAAGACACTTCTGCTTGTCACAAAAGTGGGGAGTGCTGCTGGCATCTAAGGAATAGAGGGAGGCCAAATCAGCACCCCCATGACAAAGAATTCCCTGGCCAAAAATGTCAATAGTGCCAAGGTCGAGAACCCCCAACCTAATCTAATAAATCTGAAGTTTCCGTAGCTTTGTGTATCAACCCAGTTGGAAAGGAGTTTAATTTAAGTATGTGAGTTGGCCAATATGCCATCTGAAAACCCTATTGCTTCCTTCTGCTGACCCTCCCATTGTTGTGTGAGGATCTCATATCTGTTACAAAATAGTATATTTGCCCCACATATTTAACGATCGCCCATGATTTAGTTTAAAAGGTATAAAACACATAAGAAAGTTTCTACTCTGTATCAGGAGCTGTGCTAGGTATATTCATATACACATAAGCTTATGTCACTGCAACCCAGATTACTGCTCTCACATTATAGATAAAGCAGCTGAGAGTCAGAGAGGCTGACCAACTTGCCAAACATCACACAGTGGGTAAGTGACACCCCAGTGACTGTTATTCCACATGAGGGTAAATATTTTAAAATTCACTAGTACTTCCTTTACATGCAAAGGAAATTTCTGAATCACTAATGGTTGTTACCACTCAAAGAAAAATTTTCAATCATTAATAATAATTAATGGGGTGAGGAGGGTGACTAGCTTTTTATCATATATCTTTCTGTATTACCTGAATTTTCAGTCAGCATATGTTACTCCCACTTGAAAATAAATAAATAAAAAGACTCAAACAAATCACTGGAGTGTTTCTCAAACTAATTTCAGGACTAACCCTTGACAAAATTGGAAAGTAGGAAATGGCCTGAGGTGTGCATGCCCATTCTTGTTTTTAACCCAATGTCCCAGGCAGCAGCCTTATGCCAAAATTTCTTTACTTGCCCAGGTCCCCAAAAAGGATCTTACAAAGTTATTTACACTGAGATTAAGTATGCTGTTATTTCATTGTGTTTTCACTGAGCAGAAAGCAGTATCTGAGATCAAAAGAACGACTCTGTGTTTATCTCTAGCATCAGAGGGGTAGGAGAGGTTTGGGGACAAGGCTTGTCTTTTCTTGTGGTCCTGACCATCTATTCAGGCAGGGCTGAATGCACCGGCAAGGACCGAGCCCTTAATGGGGAACAAGGCACTTGACTGAACATATCCCAGGGCCTGGCGTGTGTCTGACAAGTCCCAAGTATATAAGTGCTTATGGCTTAATAGGCGTCTTAGACTCACCATTTCCCTGGATAGCCTTTCTCCTATCTGATCTGAAAGTTCTGTGAAGAGGGATCAATCAAGTCAGAGTATCCAAAAATGATTAATTTTAAATAGTATACACACACATACCACACACATGCACACACACATATTTAATGTTAACATCAGAAACTCAATGCAGAAAGAACTTAAAAGTTTAATTTTTTATTAAGCTATGGGAAGTCAACACTTCCAGAGCTAAACTTCATAATCTGGGTGAGAACTTTGGTTGCAGATATGCCTTGAGAGTTCCATCATATGCCCATCCTCTCACACCCCTTTCCAGTCCCCACTACCCCCCCACCCCCATTTCCTGGTATGGCTAGAAGGTATAGATAACAACGAGAGGTTGATTCAACATGAGCAATGGCTCTGTATCCCACTAATTGGTTGACTTGTGTCCTCAAATAGGTATATGCAAATTCCAACCCTTGGTGTCTGAAAATGGGGCCTTTTTTTTGGAAATAGCATCTTTGTAGATATAATCAAGTTAAAATAAGGTCATCCTGGATTAGGGGGGACCCCAAATCCAATGACTAATGTCCTTCTAAGAAGAATGAGATTTGGAGATTTGGGGACACAGAAGACAGCCATGTGAATGAACAGGGATGCAGAAATTGGAATGATGCAGCAACAAGCCAAGGGATGATGGCAAGGACCGTTCATTCACCAGACCATCAGAATTTTTTACCCAGTGCACTACGAAAGCCTCTCAACTGGTCTTCCTCTTTCCAGTCTTAACTTCCTATAGTCCATTCTCACACGTTAGAATAATCTTTTTACGGGTAAATCATATCCTGTCAATGCTCTGGACAAAACCTGCGCAAGGGTTCCTATCACAGAGTAAAATGTAAAGCCTTTTCAGGGCCAGCAAGGTCTAACATGCTCTGTCCCAGGTTTTCCCTCCTCTTATGCCGCACCTGCCACACTGGCCTCTACACTCCAAGGGCCTCTGCGCGTGATGTTCCCACTGCGGATGTTCTTCCTCCCACCCTTCGCCGGGCCCGCCTGCACTATGACTCTGTTCATACCTCTGCTCAGTGTCGCTTTCTCAGAGAGTCCTTACCACCCCGTCTCAAAGAGCAAATCCAGACTCCCTATTCCCTGAGCTTGCTTCAATTTTTCTCATGGCATTTATTCACCTCTTCATACTACTGATACTACATTATGCATTTAACATTTTTTTGGTCATCTTTGTTCCCTTATTAGAATGTCAGCTCTATGAGAGCAGGGGTTTTTATCTGATTTGTTTACTGTTGTATCTCCAGTGCCTAAGACAGTATCTATTATAGAATAAGCACTTGATAAATATTTGTTGAACCAAGAAAAATAAAGTCAACGAATGCATTTTGTAAGCTACTTTGTTTTATATTTTTTGCTCTGGCTGATAGGAAGCTTAGTAATAAATTCAATCGTGAGTCAGTAATTTATTAGCTCCTTTTTAAATATTCTTTTATTCGTATTCTAATAACCTCACGTATCCCCTTTATTATATTTCTAAATCTTCTGGAATGGGCCGGGAAGGCACCAACAGACAGGTAGGTCGGGTGCCTGGTTAGGTGCCTGGTTGGGCATCTGGGAGCATCCCACGTAGGTGGGAAAAGGCGGGTTAGTTCACTAGCAGTAATTCCTGAATGTGACACAACACAGCCCTCAAGCTAGAACACACGTCTTTGTCTGCAGGTTGATGTTTGAGAGCCTGGGAGAAGCCAGGTGAGAATGAGCCAACGGGTCTAGCAGAGCCAGTGAAGGAGACGAGCGAGTTTTACCTTCTCATTCCTGCAGTTGTTCAGCCCCATATTATTCATGGAGGACAGTTTCCCATCAACACCATGTGGCTGTTGCTGTTGCTGCTCCCGCTGGATCTGTTCTCGCATCTTCCGAGCCTCCTGAATGGCTTTCATCACTGTGTCCTGATCCCCAAACAGGGCAGGGGAGTTGAGACTGGACAGGATATCTGCATACACAGGATGCATTATCAGAGGCTTGTGCGATGAGAATCTTTAAAAAAACACTGCTGCTCTCTACCTCCCTGTAGAATGCTGCATTCCCCACACAAGGAAGGGGCATGTTTGCTAGTCAAAAAATCACAATGCTGTGCATAGAGCACAGAAAGCTAGGGCAACAAAGCTGTGCTGTTTTCCCGTTGTTGTTGTTTTTGGTGTTTTGTTTTGTTTTATTAGCTCCTGGAGGATACCCTAGCACTTCGGTTTATCTGGACTTGTCACAGACGAAGGTTCCTAGATTCCAATGATGTGTATATATTTATCTGTTCTGGATACATCTGACACTCAGTGGGACAGTGGTGGGGAAGCAGGGGTGGGAGAGGGACGGAGATATCTGCTCAGGCTGCTCATTATATTTAGCATGCTAATTCAGGAAAGCTGTTTCTGGCCTAGCAAAGCTACATGTGTGCTTCAGTGACATGTGTATCTGTGTGTTCATACGTCCACTGCAGGAGAGAGGGGGCAGGAAGGAATACACCACACTCTCCGTTCCCCGCTCACTGGCTGGTTAATGAAGCATTCTACTCATCATGCTGCCTCAGTTATTTACCAAGAGAATGACAACCATTCCCTGCCCCCAGCCCACACACCCACTGCTCTCAGCCTCCTGTCTTCATGGTAGCGAGACTAGGAGTGGGAATGAGTTTCACATAAGTACAGTGCTTCAAATAAAGTGACAATAAATATTTACTCTCATTATGTTCCATGCAACACAGTGGGAAAAAACTCAAAATTAAACTGACTAATCTTCCTTCATATCTTGCTTTATACTGTAAGTTAAAATAAATACTTTAGATAAGCTTTTCCAGTTTTAGAGAAAAAGAGGACAATTGCTTGCTGACTGGTAGATTTCAGCTGCTGTGGTAAAGTTTCACATGACCCACTTGTTTGTCTCCTGTGTGAGCATTTCATGGCACGTGTCTGTATGTGCATGCACACACATGTGCATGTGTCTTTGAGTTTAGAAAATGCTCCCAAAGCTATCTATGGAAAAGTTTTTAAAGCCAATAAGTTATAGAAATCTGTATCTTTTGCTCTGGAGCTTTCTTGATGCAAAAAAAAATCTATATTGTCTGGATCACAAAGCTATGATTTCAGTCCACTGCTAGCTCATGACCTAAGACATATGCTCTGCTGAAGTATAAACTTCCTAAGAGCAGGGCTAGTGACATAGTCATCTTTGTCACTCACAATGCTCAGTAAAGCAAACAAATGCTTTCCCAACAAAATTCAGAAGTGGATTATAGGAGGGCCATTTCAAGATCAGGTCTATTATTTACTTGGGTGGGTGTTTTCCTCATCTCACCATGCCCAACAATCCAGGGATCACATTCATACACTAGAACTCATTCATTTCTCTCTTCCACTGCAAAACCACTGACGTGGGCTGGAAATCTCCAGGCCCCCAAAAGAGGCATCCTGACTCAAAATGAGAATAGGCTACTGTGTGGTTTTTAATGTGCAAATGGCAGTGAAGAAGATTTACCTCTCCTCATCAGAAGGCACATTTAGACTCAGAACAGTTAAGCAAATATTCCAACTGTGAGTTCATAAAAACAGCACTGAGTTAGTTACGTATGAAAGGACCTGGATTTAGTCTGAGCTCTGCTGACTACATAGCTACATAGCTATGGGCAAGGCATCTTCCCTGTAGGAACCACAATTTACATACAATAAGGGTAATAATACCACAACACCTAACTCAGGAATATTGTGAAAAAATCAAATGAGATAAGAGAGGCAAAAATGTTAAACTGAAAATGACTACATTTACCCATTATTTAATTATTATAAGCATTTCAGGCTGCAAGGCTCAGTAACACAAGGAAGGGAACATGGTGAAGAAATGCTAGTTCTAGTCCCTAATCCCTTTGAATTTCTGTGTCTTCATTTAAAAATTAAGAGACTTAAAGAGTACAGTAACAACGAAGTGATGAAGCTACTGACGAGTGCTCTCACACTGACTGCTCCAGTGCACGTGCGTAGGGAAATGTGTTGTATTCATTCAGCGCGGCCTTTCTAAACCTCACGCCTTTGGGGTGCCAGGCGACATGTTAGGCACTTTATGTGCATTGTTCTCTTTTAATTCTCATAACAGCCTAGGAGCTAGGAAATAATATTCCCCCTTTTGAAGATTAGGAAACTGAATTTTGAAAGATTAAATAACTTTCCCAGGATTATATAGCTAGTAAGTAAAGGCTCCTAGTCCAAGTCTGTCTGATACCAAAATCCATGTTTCTTCCACTACACTTCTCACCCTGGCCATGTGACTATTCCTAGAGATACCTGGCAGTATGTCAGCGAGTCGACGAAGCCAGAGGATCATCATGGAACATCTTATTAGATTTCAATTTTACTTCATGTTATGTCATTGAAATGTGTCACTCATATTTGTCATAATGAAGACTAGTAGATTAGATGTAAAATTCACATACATCTTAAAAAGAAAATATAAAATTTAAAAGGAATGTTGAACTTTTGGTAGGCAGCTTAAGGCCAGGGTCCCTTTAGGCCTTTGGAGGGCTCATGGTTACTCTTCCTGCCCAGAGTCACTTTAGCAGCAAAGCACCAACCAAACAGAAATGTGCAAGTCTCTGATCTGCCGGATCTTACCCATCATCATCTAAAGAACCCATCCCGGCAAAATTTATGCTGTGGCCTTTTCTAAAAGTTCTAATCACCCCAAAGACACCAAACTGGGTTATGCTTCAGTAGAACAGATTTACATTTTTTTCCTCTTGGACTAAGGAACATTTTGGAAATAAGGATCAGTCACCACTCAACAGGTTTGCTTTCTTTTACCTAATTCATAAGTCTCTTCCTGGTGTTGACCTTTCCATTTACCTAAAGAGGATCCCCTTCCCAAGCTTCCTCCAATGGGGCTGGGGATGCTGCTCTTGTTGGGCAGGTTGACAGGGCTGGTTTTGCTGGCTGGAAAGAGGCTCTGGGTGGGCGAGGTTGGGGACTTTACAGGCTCGGCTGTCTTGGGTCGGGATGAGAGATTCAGCGGCTGTGCTGCTGCTTCATCCTACAAGAGTTTAACATAAATAATTATCTTAAAAAAAGACAAATGAAGCACATTATCACTTAGTAAGCCACAGTTATTTTACACCTCAGAGACAATGCCACATTCTCCTACAATCATAACAAAAGAAGCTAATTATCTACCTCCTTGAAGATTCATCAGAAGGAAACCTCATTAATTTCCCTGTGTTATGCTTCTATTTACATTAACTGTGTAGTTGGATCATTCTTTTTTGCCAAATTAAAATCTGAATTAGCTCACATTACAGCTTAATTTCCTAATGTGTTTTCAGGGATCTAAATTAACCTAGGGCATTTACAAAGAATTATTTAAAATTTCAGCAGCTCTGTAGTGCTTTTGTGTTATTCTCTCTAAAAAGTTCTTGGAACTATAAATAGACTCTGCAGCTAATTTTTTAATATATATTTTAAATCAAACAATTGCAAGGACTTTAAAAATGGAAACACGGAAGGCCTTCTTCTGACTCCCTGGCCCTCTGCCCAGGGAGCCGCATGCCACAGCCTGGCTTCTGTGTGGCTTTCTGGGTGTGGGCACTCTTCATGGTCTATGTTCTGGTCTCTACCCATGTTTAAAATTAATTTTTGCAAAGAGCTAGCACACATTATAATTATGTTTTACATACCATGCTATATGCAATTTATTTCTCATGTCTAAAGTGATGTCTCTTTATATCTTCGCTCCATATATTTACAGAATGTCTATTTTAAGATGCCCGTCCTTCGCTGAGCACAGTGTTCAAATATCTTGCTTGTAACTCTAGTTTAACCAGAAGCTTGAAAGCTAAGCTCCTTGCCTCTATTTGGTCTCATTTATCCTGCTATCAAATACCCATAACAACCCTTCCATCATGCTAGAAATTTATTTGTAATATGAGTATATTCATTTAAATGTTCAGTTTTAAGATCTGCATTATTGTGTTCTAAAATAAAATTGTCAGCAAATGTTAATTTCTGTTTTGCTTCTGAGGAGGCACAGAGAATTTGCTTTGAATGTTACTGTTTAAAACACAGTAGAGCTTGGAAATAGAACATTCTTCCCTTTGGCATACCTGTGACCTCTCTGGGGCTCCATTCTTCATCTGTAGGGAAAAAAGGGGTCTAATTCTAGCTGATCTCTAGGGTCTCTTCCAGCGTTAGTGGTCATTGTTTAAGAGGAAACAAAAACGGATGCCAGAAACTACTACTCAGGAAGGAGAACTAGAAAAAAATATATGACATTCAACAGAGGAGCCATTATGTACCAAGCACTGTGCTAAACATTTTCATACATATTAGTTCATTTCACTATCAATAAATCTATGAAGGTGGACAGTAGTGTTCTAAACTTGCTAAGAAAGATGGGTCGGAGTGAGAAAATCATTACCCAAAGCTATACTTGGAGGGGCGTAATTCGAATTCTAATTTATCGGACTCCAATGCCCAGGGTCCTTTACTAGTATACTATCCGGGAGAATAAGGCATTTGAGAATGTAGTGATGCCCTACAGTTCTCTGTTTTTGTTTTGCTTTGTTTTTGTCATGGTAGGTAATGGGTAATGGGCACATATATGTATGTTGCAATGTTCTTTTATTTACATCTAGACATCGGATAGGTTCTTAGTTAATACAGTTATATGTATTATGAATGTCAAAATTATCCAATATGCTTAATTACAACTCAAAGGATATTTAGACTAGTTAGTTCCTTTATTTAAATTTAAATTATAGTGATTAATATGCTACATATCTAGTTAGTCTTCTCCATGTTTCTTTATTTTGGGGTTCACTGAGCTTCTCAGATATGAGTTCAGAGTTTTCTTCAAATTTGGAAAACTGCCAGCTATTACTTCTTCAAATAGTTTTCTGTTGCTTCATTATTCTTCCAGGGTTTCAGTTGCATGTATCATCAGGCCATCTCGGACAGTTTCATTGTTATGCGATCAAAATCCCTACTCTTCTGTAATGCCTAATTTGTCGTTAACCTCAATTGAATACTAATCCAGTTTCATTTCAAGCACTGAATTCTTCATCTCCAGACATTCAATTTAGGTCTTCCATGTCTTCACTTGTAATTCTATGTTTTTCTCTACCTTCTTAAACATATGGAGTTTATAACATATGGTTTCATTCAGCTTTGAATATATTCCAACTGATTTATTTTTATAATTTAATAATTTCCAGTTCCATAAACAATCTCACTGGGGTTGGAAGCACCTATTGATTCCAAATCATGGAAATCCCTTTCTGCAGTGGCAGACCTGCTACTGGTCCTCACAGCCTGCCCTGGCCAGACGGAAATTCTATGGGCATTTTTTAGGGAGCAGATTTGCCTATTGTAAGTCTCTTATAACAGCTGTTTTTACTGGCTTATCTACTAATTCTATCATCTGTGTGATTTTGGGGTCTGTTTCTCTAGATTGTTTTCTCCTCATTATTGTTCAAATTTTCTAGATTATATGAAAGGCTGATAATTACTGAATGGATGCTACATATTGTGACCTTTACATTGCTGGGCATTGGAGTTTGTGTATTCCTTTAAATACCTGTAAACTTTTTTGGAGACACAAGTAATTTGCTCATTTCTAGACATACTTTTAAGCTTGGTTAAGCAGGTCCAGAGCTGCTCTTAACCTAGGGATAATTTGGCTCTACTACTGAGGTCACAGCCCTCTGGGGATTCTACTTGCTGAGCCATATATCAGGAGAACTTTCTACTCTGGCTAGTGGGAATATAAACAATTCTCAGTCCTTTGTGAATCTTCACCTGTTTTGCTTGCTATTCCTATATTTTTTCCTGATACTAGATAGTTTCCTCACATACATATGCTAATCAATACTCAGCTAAATTTGGGGAAACTTCTGTAGATCTTCAAAGTAATCTCTCTGGGGGCAGCTCTGTCCTCTCTGGCACTCTACCCCACTTATTCCTTCTACCTTAGCTTCCCTAAACTCTGAGCTCTATCTTTTCTCAGGGAGGCTGCCAAACTCCATGTGTACCCCTCCCTGCACTATTGCCTAGAAATTCCCTCTAGATAGTGAGCTGAAACAACTGTAGTGCCCACCTCACTTGTTTCTCTTTAGTCAGGGAGTACTGTCCTCTACTCCTATTGTAAATGTCTGAAAACCATTGTTTTATACATTTTGTCCTGAGTTTTAGTTGTTTAAGCTGGCAGAGTAAATCTGGTCCTTGTTCCTCCACCATGGTGGAAGACGGTAACCCTCTAGGTTGATTGTTCAGATCTCTCCTGGTATCCAACTAACTACTTCAGTCCCAAACCCTACTACCACCACCACCATCCTCTTTATGAGTCAGATTATCATCATCATAATCACTATGCTAACTAACATTTATGGAATACTCACTATATGCTAGAGGGTGCATTATCTCATTTAAGACCCATAATAATATTGACTTTCATTTTAGAGAGGAGAAAATTAAGGCTGAAAAAAGTTAAGTTTCCCAACATGATATGGAGGATAAATATGGTAGAACTGATATTTGAACAGAAACATCTGCCTTCTGATGTTAATTATAGCAAATAAAAATTCTGGGTGAAAGGAGGCACATAAAAAAATTTGTGTTTATTTTTGTTACCTTCAGCAAACTATGCCCTTTGTGATGTGGACATGTTATATACACAGGGAAGGCAATGACTACAGACAGAAACATGAGATATTTTAGTGACCATATTTCTTTCAATTAGAAAATTATAAGACTGTTCTCAGAACTTCTTCAATAATAGATAGGAGCTATTTTTAAAATTTAAAACATTTGTTTTCTGTCTTTGTCTATATATTTTTACCCATACAATAAACAATCTAGTACATATAAGGAATGCTTCCTTTGTTATTAACATAAAATATAGTCAGGTCAAATTATATAGAGAACACCCTAAGAATTTGCATGTGGTCAAGTGAGTAATAAAATTCAGCTGGCCCACAAAGCTGGAATGGTAAAAGCAGATATAAACTTAAATTTAACCAGGGAACATTTTACTCATCCAGTAAAGACTTGGTTTGGTGCGGTTCCATTTGGCCAACTCCCTTACAAAATGACTTTTTCATGTTAAAATATCTAATACTCAATGCCTCAAGTCACTGATGTTTGACATGCTCATACTCAACAACAATTAAACAAAGTGCTTCAGTCTGAGTTGTAATGTCCTGACTCTTATTCACTAATAGAAACTCTTGGAACACAAAAAAGTCTATTACCATAATCATGCTATCTTAGCAAATGTGAACAGTACATGGTCATATCTCAGTATTTCTAACAACAAAGCAGAAATGTCCATCTACTTGTTTGGAGAATCTGAAAGCCTTTGGGGCACAGGAGGAATTGTCCTTCTTATTGATGTTTACTTTTCTTATTTTTGGTATTTGGGATTCATATTTTTTAAAGGCCTTTCTGAAATTTCAAAATTTCTATCTGAAAATATTAGAAAATAAAATTATTTCAGTGAGTTTGTAGCATTCAATGGTTTTTGTTGATCTTTAGATATTTTCCATGCAAAAGTATTTTCACATGGAAAGTATCTAACGCTATTTTAGAGATATCTAAGATACTTAAGAATTGCAAACTTTTTTCCAATGCAGTACTTTGGGCACTCTATAGTAATACATCTGTGCTTGGCATACCCCTCTAAGAAGATGTCAATTATATAAAACAATTATTTTCTAAACCATTTGAATTTGTTAATTCAATATAGGAAAGGAAGGCAATCATAAAAACCAACCAGTACCACCTGTAGGTACCAGCTGCAGCACAAAGTTGAAATGGATCATCAATTTCCCTTCATCGCCAAGTACCTCCTGGCTGCCCCACTCTAAGGCACTGAAAATCAGTGAGGAAAGGTATCTCTCATGTCCTAGCCATAACTTGGGGGAGCCTGTTTATCTTATCACAACCTATATGGCATCGATGCATGATACCACTCATTCCTCAGAGCCCACATTTAGAACTATTTTTATAGGGGAGACCTTTATCAACAAACCACATAACATCCAGCATTAGGCTTTTTTTGTTGTTGTTCCCTTTTTAAAATCTAATCTTTTGAGATCTTCCTTCTCTGGTAGTGTAAGTTGGCTCCCCACCTGTTTAAGAAACTTAGAGAGAAATGTCACAAGTCTATGACAAACACTGGTAATAAAACCATGGCCATTCATGCCAATGAACATTAAAAAATAAAAGCTAGAATCCAAAGGGGAAAAACTCTTGAGAAGTGAGTTTGCAGATTTAGGTAAAGATTTCACAATATGGCACTATTGTTATCAAAAGGGAAACACCTGTTTCTCAGTGCTCAATCATGAAATTTACCATAAAGAGGAGCATTTGGGGGATCTTTTATGTTGCTATGCTTCCTGCCATTTACTCCTGACACAGCCTGGTTCACTACCTTTCTTGTGAAGCTATTTTCCAAACTGTTTCCACAACTCTGCAAAGCAAGTACCTTAACTTGAGTTACAGGGCTGGTCCCTCTCTTTTCATTTTTTATCCCGGTAGGTGAGACTGCCCCTGCTGTGTTTGGTGGCTGTGGAGTTGATGGTATCTTTGCTCCAGGTGACACCTGCATGCTGGCCAGCTGAGCGGCATAGAGCTGCTGCAAAACAGGCAAGACAAACATTATCTCTTTAAATGCAGCTGAAATGGCATTTCAAAAAAAACTTACCGTATTGTTAGAGAGCTATTTCTCTGACAGCTTTGCAATTTCTCTTTCACCACTTTATTACAGAGGGAAATAAGAGAGACCAAATAATGTAACAGAAAAAATGAGTACTGGTAGGGGAATCACTGTTCTGTTCCTGGTCCTTCTAGCAAAAGTGTATGGCCCTAAACAAAGGACTCAATTGCTCTAGAACTCAGTTTCTTCAATTGTACAAAAAAGGAATTTGACTAAATGGTCTCAAAGATTCTTTCCAGTACCCAAAATATTTATAAAAAGTTTTTTAAAAGTTGGTATGCCCATTCGTGTAATTTTAATATTCATGAACTAAGAAACTAATCTGGACTTTGCTAGGGATTCCTACAAGAATGTTGTTCCTGTTCAGTACTGACCAAGCTTCTGCAGGACTGCTGATGCTTCTGCTTGGTGCCAGTGCTGCCCTCCAGACCCCTGAGCCCAGCGGGAGTTGCTGTGTTCTCAGGGCCTTAGTTCTAGGCAGTGCATAGTCCTCAAGAGAACACAGCCAGATTTGTGAAAAATAAAATAGAATAAAAATCAAGCTTCTTTCTTGTAGCACAAGAGATTATTAGCTTTTTTGGGTGAAACTGGTGATACGTGAATGTATAGATCTGCTGGTTGACCATAAAGAGAACTCATATACCTCAATTTTAACACCACTTAATTCATGAAAACTTCATTCAAATATTTTCTTTCCTTCTTATCATCAAGACTAAGCCATTACCTCGATAGTCATATTTCTATCATAATGAATAGAAGGCTTCCTAGTTTCATCAGCCACAGAGAAAATAGCTCAAACTTTACCACATTAGTAGGGGAGAGAAAAACAGGTGGTTTATATGTGATTTCCAGCATTACTATCATTCAGATGGACAAATAAAAAAATTACAGTAATCAAAAACAGACCTTTCAGCACATGTAATTAAATGAAAGCTTAATAAAGAATAATTTGCAAGAGCCAGATGTGCTTATGTCATGATTGTTGCTTTCTTTGGAACAATTTTTCTAATATAACAAGCCTCTAAAGAAATTAAAGTTCCATAATTCTGTGTGTGCAATGACTCGGTGGCAAGAAAAGTTCACAAGAAAGAGTCAGTCAGACTGCTAAAACTTAGGGGGGTAAAGGGCCTGCCTTTTTTTTTTGTTTCTTTTTTACTATGTTGTACCCTTTTCCTTTGAAATTCAGCCAGGTGTCTTCAAAAGAGGGGCAAGTGAAGCTCCTGAAAATTTTCTGCTTCAGGTAAGCCAGTGAAGAAAAGTTTTATGAAGAGTAGAGATGGTAGAAAATTGAAAAAGCATTGGCTGTATAGCTGGTGTCATGACCAGTATGCCCTACTGTGGAGTATCAAAGAGTCATGAGAACTTAGGGAGGCAAGAGATCTTCGACATCATTTATGCCTTCATTTTACCTCAATAATTCACAAGATCAGAAGAAAGGCAATTTTACTCAATCTCAAATCCTTCAAGAAACATAAGCTAGTAAAAAAAAACAAACAGAAAAAAACAAGTCTTTGGAAACAAATCCATTTTTTTTAAAAGCTAACTAAATTCAGAAATCCTTCAGATCGATTGCTTTTTAGAAATAGAGTAGTGTTCATTGTGGCCTCTAAAGCTTTGATAATCACTTAGTTTATACCTCTGTCTAGTGAGTTGTACCTAAAAGAAGCAAGACCCCATGAATTCTGAGAGTCCTCAGAGTTGTGACATCTAGGAGTTCCTTGGGAATTGTGATTACTTATACATTAGAGGCACAAAGACGTGTGGTCGTATTCCATATAACTCAGAGATCTGGGTAAACAGAACTGCAAGCTACCAGGTAAAATTTAGTAGAAAGAGACTTGAAATAAAAACCAGAAAATGTAAACACAGAGGCACTCGTGAAAGTTAAATTTTTACATTCTGTCTAACAAACTATATTATTTTAGATACAAGTATCATGCTTTTCAGACTGAAGACTTTAGGTTTGACTTGGATAAAAAGAATCCTACTTGTTAAACAGATACAGGTTTAGAAAACAATGTCACAGCTCACCTTCTAACCTAACATCAACTGAATATGCTTTATATGCAAGCGTCTATGTTAGTCACTAACCAGGATTCAAAGTCTTGGAACAAGCATATGGCTCTGGAGATGTAAGGTCCAGATCCTTAACATGTGTCTGGCACCTTCCTTACGGTGCTTATCACATTTTTTAACCTTGTGTTTAGTTATGCACATGTCTTATCATCTTTGATGCACTGTAAACTTATTGAAGCCCTGATCAACCTAATTAGCTTTGAATGCCTAACATCAAGCATAGTGCCTAGCTTCAAGGATAATGCCTTACAAATAAAAGATAACCAGTCGATATTTTATGAATTAACATACAGTATGTAAAAGTCACTGGATGTTAGGAAGGAGAATTACTCTCTCTGTTTAAATGAGGCAACAGAAGTGGCATAGGATTCTACTTACTATTTGTGTAATGAATAATTTTATGATGTTGAGTTTTTTAAAAAATAAATTCAGTACAAATTAAATTATATCATTTCAAAAAACATGATCATTTGAAGTTGTTTGTTAAGATGTTGTTGACTAGACATCTGCTCAGTAACTGCCAGCTTCCCTGACTGGTCAAACTTGTCTAATACAAATGATACTGCCTAAGCCATAACTACAAAGTAGTACCAATTTTTCTTTTCAGTCCAGTTACTTATAAATTTAAAGTTTCTCTAAATGCTGCTGTATCCTTTTTTGAAAGAAGACAAAATATTAGTTATTCAAAACTATTAGTTTTAGTTAGAAAACTCCTCTACAGACCAATGGTTTAAAAAAAAGGTGAGCCCTGACTGGTGCAGCTCAGTGGGTTGGGTGTTGTCCTGCAAAGTGAAAGGTCACCAGTTTGAATCCCGGTAAGGGCACATGCCTAGGTTACAGGCCAGATCCCTGGTTGGGAGCATGTTAGAGGCAACTGATTTATGTTTCTCTGGCACATGGATGCTTCTCTCCTTCCCCTTTCCTCTCTATAAAAATAAATAAATAAAATCATTTTAAAAAAGTTAAATTCTGACTATCATATAAGAGTTTACAACATGTAGGATTCTCAGATCATAGTTCATAGTCATAATGATGATGATAATAAATAGTCATTTCAAACAATAGTTAAGGTTTAAAAAAATCAACAATGAACTAAAGGTTCTAACAGACTTAGCCAAATTCCTAGAAACATTTAAACTTTGGTGAAGACTGTTTTTGTAAATACAGATTGTTGTATTTTGATTTTTAAAAAAATGTTCAGTTATGTTTGGGATATTGAATTGTTTATCCAAGATATATCAAATAAATGCAGTGCATACATGTCAAAATGAGCATAGCTAAATATTTTTCAAAATTATAAAATCACTCACATTTTTATAGGGGCACTTTCAGAAATGCTTTCACTACTTTATGGCTAAAACTATTCCACCTACTTTCAGTTTTAATAAAGTAGTCAGCATTAAAATTTTGGTAAGTGGACCATTGACATACTTAGCACCTAGAATTGAAAGGGCCTTAGCAGATCGTTTAGTCTAGTCTGACCTCCTCATCCTACTGATGAGCTGAGGTCTGGAGAACAGAAGTAGCATGGCCAAGATCACATAACTACTGAGCACTAGCTCTCACTCCAATGTTATTATTAAAAGTACAAATGGATGTATGATGAACCAGCCTTTGCACATTTCCAACGTTGATGATTTGTTTGATGACAAATCTTTATTAAATGCTTACTATTAACTAAACACTTTGCTAAAAACAAGCAACTCAGAAATAATCCCTGCTTTAATGGAGCTAGAAAGAGAAACATATTAAATAAATGCTTAGACAGTAACTATAAATTATGGTTAAGGTAAATGCTGAGAAAGAAAAATACAGAATGTGAAGAGACCATCCAATAAGGGCATTTAACATAGTCTAGAGGATCTGAACAGCTTCTCTAAGGAAGTAGTATTTTAAGTAAGAATTACCCAGGTGGAAAGGTTGATAAAGAACATTTTAGAAAGAAGAAACATCAACTGTTATGGCTATGAGGTAGAAAAGAAGGGAACATTTTTGAGGGACTTTAAAAAGACCAATGTGGCAAGATGGCGACAGGTACAAGAAGAGGCTGGAGAGGAGGAGGGCCTTAGAGCCACACTAAGACTTTGAGACGCTGCCCCCAGATACAAGTGTCTGCAAAGAGGAACAAACCGAAACCAAGACACAAAGAAGATTTCTACAGTTCACCATGAATCACTGCCAGTCTCTTAAATAAATCTGATTAAGAGAGTCCTAAGAAGGTCTCACAATACACAAATATATACCTCTGATAATGTTTCTAGAGTTTTGTGTTCTGACTCTAGCCTTAAAAGAAAACCTGTCTTGAATTTGAATCCAAGTGACACTTTTAACAACTAAGCTGCTTAGATTCAACACAAAACAGTAGGTGTAACGAACCGAACAGCCTTATGGTAAAATACTTGAGTGTCTTCCAATATGCACACTGTCTACGGTCAGGACCTGAGAAACATTTTGTGTCAGAGTCATCTTATGACACTGTTATATTTGGGAAGAGAGGCATGATTTTCCTCCATAACAGCCAAATTCATGTCAAATTATTATGGGTAGTATCACAATGTATCTGATATTTACCATAACATGAAATATATGTGTGGGGGGGGCGGTATATGGCCTACTTTCTATGATAAAATCATGTATTGTCTCCAAAGGAGAGTACTAAAGGAAAAAACGGGCAAAGCCTTTTCTTCTCAGGAGCACATTATTTTCACATAACCACAAAACCAGTCCTGCTGTCATCCAATCACCCCCATGCATTCATGTGTTAATTCAACAAACACACTGAACACTAACTCAGGGACCATGACAGGTATTTTATATTGATTATTTAACCTTCAAAATAATCA